AGACCCGAACGTGCTCGGCCCGCTCGCGGCGGCCATGCTCGACTGGGAAGACGGCAGCCCGCTGCGGGCGATGCCGGGCCACGGCGGCAAGCTCGTCGTCCCGGTCCAGCGTGCGGCGGTCCGGCGGCGAATGCAGTCCGCCGCCGCCGCCGCCGCCGCTCGGATTGCAGCAGGGGGGAACGCGGAAGAAGCGCCCAATTCGCTGGCCGAGGAGGATGCCGCGGGCAGCGCCGTCGAGGACCACAAGTCGCGGCCGCCTGCCCGTCAGCCCTCGGCGGATCCGCTCGCCGACCTCGACTACGCCGAGCTGGGTCTGGCCGCGGTCGGCAACGAGTGTATGCCGATCGACATGCGGGGGCCTTCGCTGGCAGCGCTTTCGGCGAGGACGTACGTCAAACACATCTCCGAGACCGCCTCGGCCGGCGTCTTCAGCAACGTACTGCAGGCCAGTCACCCGGCCGACGAGCCGCAGCGGGTCTGGAACGCCTCGAGGTCGTTCTCGCGCCCCGTCATGCACGGCCTCTTCGCCGAGGCTCCCATCCCGGCAGGCGCGTTCATCTGCGAGTACCGCGGCGAGCTCTACAGCGCCGACGCCTACCGCCGGGATCCGATCAACCAGTACGCCGCGCTCGGCGCTGTCAAACCCCACGTCCACCTGCTGCCGCACCCGCTCAACCTTGCCATCGACGCACGCCGCTTTGGCAACGAGGCCCGCTTCGCCCGCTTCAGCTGTCATCCCAACGCCGTGCTGCGGCCCATCCTTTTCCGGCGGCGGCCGACCTCTGCTGCGACCGCCGCCGCAGGTCTCCGCTCGCAGGACAGGTCGCGCTCGCCGACGCCCTCTGCGGCCAAATCCCTTGCATCTGCGGCGACGGCGGCGTCGACCGCAACCGACCCGGCCGTCGCATCCAGCGTCGATGCCGCCGCTGCCGCTGCTGCCGACGTCGAGGCCGAGGTCGACAAGAGCGGCGACGAGCCCGAGCTCCTGTTCGGCCTGTTCGCCCTAACCGACATCGCCCGCACCCACGAGATCACGCTGGGCTGGGAGTGGGACGACGCACACATCGTCCACTTCCTGCCGGAGCTCGTGCAGAACCCGTTTATGGAACCGCGCGAGTCGCGCTCGCCCGGCGGCACGCCTCGTTCGACGTTCGACGCCGAGCGCCACACGGCCAACATGGTGGCCATCGCCGAGCGCGGCGAGTTCCCTTACGCCTCGACCGAGTTCTCGGTCAAGATGAACGCCGTTGCCACAGCGCTCCTAGGCTGCGTGCTCTGCGCGTGCATCGGCTCGGCCGCGGCGCCTGGCGGAGGCGGCGGAAGCGCCAGCGCCAACAATGCGCGGAAGCAGGACTGCGCCGTCGCACAGATGCTGCGCGTAGGCAACGGCATGTCGCTCCTCAACGTCGTGATGCCTGGCAAGACGAATCGACGCGCCAAGCTGCCAGACTTCGCGCCTCTGGTCGGCATCCGACGCTCCTGGCGCCAACCGAGTTTGCCGCCCACGCCCGCCAGCTCGACCAAGGAAGGCCGAAGCCCGGGTGCCCCTTGCGGCGGCGGCGACGACGAGTCCCTCGCCGTCAACGATGGAATGGGCGGGCAGCCGACTGCCGAGGAGCTTCTGCTGTTGAGCACTAGCGGTACCCCACTGAACGCGGCCGAGATGGAGGATGTTCCCGTGGCTTGCGGCCAGGCTGACGAATCCTCAGCCCGGGCCGATTCTCCAGCTGCCGCAGCATCCCCAAGCGTCACCGTCGACAGACTAGACCACGCGGAAGCAGGCTCGACGGCCGAAGCCGACGAGCGACCTATCGACTTGAAAGACGACCCGGTCCAGTCGGCAGACGACACCGAGATGGTCCCTCCGCCGCTCGATGACGCAGATGCCACCGACTCGGACGCATCGTCCCTCACCGACCCGCTCTCCCTCGCTCTGAGTGGCGACGAGGACAGTGCGGATGAGGACGACCCGGACCTCCGACGAGCTCTGCGATTCGCCGATCAGGGAGCCGCAGATGATGAAGGCGACATTGACATGCGGCCGCGGTCGGGCGACGAGTCTTTGGTCGACTCTGGCGTCTTTGTCCTGCCGCTCAAGAAGCGCGTGACTCGCACGCGCATCAAGGCCGCCCTTTCGCCGAGCGAGTCGGAAACCGACGCGGAGGATCGTGCCCGGTCGAGGCCCGACAAGCCGGAGAGTGGCACGCGGTTGGGCGCCGGTGCGGGAGGGCAGAAGCGCAAGGCCAAATCCCGACTGTCTCGAGTCAGCCTGCAAGGTGCCAGCGACGATGAGCCGCCGCCGGCACCGCGCCCCTCGAAGAAGCGCAGAAAGGCCGGCAACACGGTCGATCCGAGCTCGCCGCTGTCGTCGATCCCATCGCCGGGATCGCGCTACTCGAGCCTTAGCCCTCCGCCGCCCGTCGCCCTCTCCGACCGCGATGACGACGATGACGACGACGACGACGACGACGACAGCTCCGACGCCTCAGATTCGGACGCGAGCGTGAGTCGCGGCGCTGCCTCGAGGCGCGCGACAGCAAAACTGCTTGCCAAGAGCAAGCGCTCCGCCCGGTCGCGACCACAGCGCGGCCGACGAGGGTCCGACGCGAAACCCGAGGAGACAGCCTCGGTGCGAAGAAAGAAGGCCAAGGCTCGGCTGCTTAGAGACTCGATCGCCGACATGGGCGATCCGGAGAGCTCTGACGACGACGATGCAGAAGCTGCCGAGCGCAACACGACAGCGTCTCCGACTCCGCCGGTCAAGGTCACGCCCTTGACGCCACCCAAGAAGGCGGCAAGACCACGCAAGTCTGCCAAGCGATCCGCCGAGCCCGCCGCCAAGGCATCGCGGAGGGAGGTCGCTGCCGCCGCCCAGAAGACGAAGAAGAACCGGCGGGTCGTGTCCGACACCGAGAGCGAGGCCAGCGACGCGGATCGGACGCCGAAGCCATCGTCCAAGGCTAGAGCCGCCCCCGTCGTTGATACGCCAATCAAGGCGGATCCCGACGCGCCCGCCACCGTACCCTCCCCACCATCGCCCGCGCCGCCCGTCCCGAAGCAACAGGATCAGACCGATACGGCAGATGACCCTGCAGATGCCGCGCCTTGCGCGGTCAAAGAGGACGCTGTTGGTGGCGGACCCGAACCGGCTACGTCAGGCACCATCGCAGTGAAGACGGCTCAGACGGATCCTGCTCATGCCGAGGAGGCATCGAAAGAAGCGCCGGCCCCGCCCGCCCCTCCGGTGGTCAAAGAGGAGCCTCGCGTCAAGCTTTCGCTCGCCGAGTACAAGAAGCGGCTGGCCGAGCGCCGGAACTCGTCGCAGGTGAGCCAGGTCAAGTCTTCGCCTCCCGCGACGCCTTCAGCCTCGACCTCGGAGAATGCCAGTGCGCCGGCCCCGACCCTCGGCGAAGGCAACGCCGCCGCCGCCACGCCGACTGCCGAACAGAAGCCGGCCAGCAGCACGGGCTCAGGTATAGCCCCACGGCCAGATGCCGCACCAGTCGACGGCATCAGCAGGCTTGTCGGCACGCCAGCCGCAGCAACGGCATCGCCTAAACGGCCGTCGACGCCTCCGCGGCCGTCCTCTTTTTCATCGCTCGCTGCTCCAACGGCGATCCGCGCAGTCGAGATCCCCATGTCTCCAAGCATCGGCTCTCCAGCATCCTCGGACGCAGCACGGCAGAACGGCTCCATCGAGGAGGCTCGGCCGCAGCAGCCGGCCACCGACGTCCGATCGCTCCGCACCTCGCTTCCGCCACAGAGGTCAGCACCGGCAGCCGACGGCGCAGACGGTCCCGTCCGAATCGATGCGCCGCCGCCGCCAAAGACGCCGCCGATGAAACGAGCCACCTTGCCTGCCACCACGGACGGCGCCGACGCCTCTCGACCGTCGGTCGCGTCGGCCAGCTTCTCCGGCGCTGGCGCACCGATCTTGACATCGCGCATCGATCTGGAGGGACAGGCTGGATCCAATGGGGAAGACATATCTGCCGGTCGGATGGCGAGACCTGCGCCTGCAGGCTTCCAGCCCATCGCGGTTCGCCCGGGCGCCATCTCTGCTCAGGCTGGTGGAGGAACGGCTACCTCTGGCTCCTGGACAGCGATCGGAAACGGCGGCGGCAGCACTGCCAGCGCGCGTTCCGGCTTCGCACCGATCGGCACAGGATCGAACGCGACCACGGCAGCACCGCCGGCGGGGTCTCCACCACAGCAGCAGCAGCAGCCCCTTGGCTTCGGGCGACCTGCCATGCATCCGGCCACCGTGACTGGCGCAAACGCAGTCGGTCCATCGCTCGGCGCCGGGAACGTGGTACACGGCCGCTCGCTCTCGGTTTCGTCGTCGTCGTCGTCGTCAGGCGGAGGCGCTCACCGGCAGATGCCGCCTTCGCCGGGGTTCAACCCGCCGAGGGCGCGGGCCTTCCTGAGCTCTGCCGCTCCGGCCTCGGGCAACCCGTCCTTGCCTGGCGCATCTCCGACGCTGGCGGCAGTGGGCTCCAGCGCCGCCACGACGGCAGCATCGGGACCTCCGCCTCCCGTCAGGCCGCCTCCGATCATCTCGGGCGCCAATGCCATCCCTGCTGGACCGCCAGGCGTTGGACAGTCTGCAACGTCGGGCCTGTCGATGGCCGCCGCTGGCGCGCCGCGACACGCCACGGCGAGCATGAGCCCGCCGTCGCCTGCTCTGTCGCTGCACAGCGTGTCGAACGCCAGCCTGCGCGACTTTGCCGGCGTGCCCACAGGGCCGGCCAGCATGCGGGACCGCGACGGGCGTTCGGACAAGTCGGACCGCGAGTGGGAGCGCGACGCCTGGTCCGAGGCGCGCGGCGAGCGGACGGCCGACTGGGCTACTCGACCGGACCGACTGGAACGCGATCGCGAGCGGGAGCGGGAGCGCGACCGCGACTGGGATCGCGAGAGGGAGCCGCGCGAGCCGCTGCCCTTCCGTTCTGGATCCTTTGACGATCCCGGCGCCGACCGGCTCGAGCACGGGCTGCCTCATCCGCCGCCGTTCAGCCTCGGCGCCAGCCTTGGCGGCGGCGGTGTCGGTGGCGGTATGGGCCCCAGAGGTGGTCGCGGCGGGCGTGGCGGCGGCATGGCGGCTCGTGGAGAAGGCCGAGACTACCTCGACGACGGCCCGCCGATGGGTACGTCGGCCGCCGCCGG